ACCATCTGCTCTGAGGGACTACATCCTCCGACATACGAGCACATGAACTCTCTATGAATGAGGACTCTTGGCACATGTTCACTGTTATTATGTAACTGATGTTAACAGGCCAAGCTCCTTACCGCTACGGAGCCGACTTTTCCTTATGTAACTATGTTCGATTTCAGTATTTAGGAAATGTAGATCTTGAGACATAGAGATGTTTGTTCTTTCCTAGTTTCCCTGTTTAACTTAGTTACAACCCTTGTTCTTCTAATGTTGCACGCGTAGACCCAGATGTATTACAGCCTGGTATGTTTCCTCGTTTATCTAGTTGTTGCCTCAAACCGTTAAGCTCCACTTGCTTTATGTCAGATTTTCCAGCAATATCCTGTATGTAACTCCGAGCACTTCATCCACTAGTTAGTTAGCAAGTTGGCTAGTTTGTTAGTTTATAGCACTAGTTGTTTAGTTCCCATGTGTTGGGTGGGCGGTTCCTCTCCTCTCCTCATACCTTCCTGCTTTGGCCGTCTCGCTCTCTCGACCCTGGCGCTCAGAGGTCTTTTTCTCCTTTACATCGATTAAAAGCTCTGAATTCGGCCAAATGCAGGTCTCAGTCTCTCTCCTTTAAGTGTAATCATGTTGGGATTGCGCAATAGGCGTAATACCCGGGGATTGCACTGGAGATTGAGGAGTTGGGTCGCCCCCCTCTAAGGGGAAGCCAGGGGCGCATGCGCATTAGCCTGTTCAATTTCCAACCGAAAGGGAGCAGCCATTTTCGGTCCTTTAGCTACCCTCCCTCCCTCCCACAATGCAACAGGCTCAGCACTTGCGCCAATGGCTTTCTCTCCACACATGGCGCTCAGAGGTCTTTTTCTCCTTTACATCGATTAAAAGCTCTGAATTCGGCCAAATGCAGGTCTCAGTCTCTCTCCTTTAAGTGTAATCTGAAGTAAATAAAAAAATAAATAAATAAAAAAAACTCACTCAGTCCGTCCACAATACGCAGAATACGGTCCGTTGAAAAATTCGTGAGAATCATACACTGAACACTGTGAACTCGGCCCGTTAAGAGATTCCTGAGAATTCGATCCATACAACACAAAACACTACATCTCGGCGCAAAAAAAGAGTATGACGATGTTGATGAAGTTTCAATCAGTTAGATTTTATCTTTTATAAGATATCCTCCGTACATGATTAACGTCGCAGTGGCATAGTTAGATATGCAGTGAGTGTAAAAATCTTGTCAAGGCAGAACAATATTTTCTATATTTTCTAACGTTTAATATAATATGCCGGGAGGGCGCCACCATAAAAAGACTTCTTGGAGTAACAGGTGTTAGACCTAAGTCGTTTGTTGTGCAGTTCACATCAATTCCGCATGGAAGGTCCTGGAGTACGTGATCCTTTATAATACCATTCCATTCAGGCAAAGAACTAGAAAGTCGCGGTTCTGAATGCGTTAACAGGGGACCGGCGGCTTTACGTGACTCTACATTTGAACGAGCGAAGGCAGTCCTGAATGTTGCGTTGACTTATCACACACTGTGTCTGATAATAGTGTCAATAAAAACTTCATTATCATCACGTTACTGTAGCGTTAAACGGTTAGCACGATATAAACGGAATTAAAACAGTTTCATGTGTTGATTTGTTTGTTTGTTTGTTTGTTGATTTGTTTGTTTAGAAACTCTTTAGAAATCATTTTGTCTTCTTCAGACGGGTGACATGGCAATGAACAAAGTGATACGTAAGACAGGGCACATAAGCTCCTTCATATAGATTTTGTAAGTCTTAATTGTGCCACGTTTCAAAACTTCACTGTCAGTGTAGTTCCTCGCGGAGTTGTCATGGTGTAGGCTGTTCCAACTTCAAAGTAACAACAAGAAATAAAAAGTCTCTTTTACAAAGGAAGTATGAACTCAACCCAAGATACCTGTCTGCCAAGTTTCAAGTTACTGCTTGCAAGTGGATGGATCAAAAGCGACCTCTAGCAGTTGAATGAACGACTGCACTCAGCTCCTATAACAAATAGAGAATGAAATTTTTGTGTTCTTTTTAACATGGTATACATGTATGTGGTTTGTAATGTCATAGTGGTAACGCTACACTGTTTGTCAATATAGAAAGGACTGTAACCAGGATTGTAAAAATACAAACTATTTTGCATGTGATCGCCACGTCACAACCCGCAACTGATACTAGTAACCGAAAAAGCAGGTGGTTGGCTGGCTGTTGGGTGATTTCCCCACCAATACTTTTACATATGGCTTCCACTAAATTAACATATGGCTACCAATAATTTGCATGTGGCTACCAATAAACAACAATCGTCATCGCCGGGCCTGCGCAGTGCCTGGGGGAATTCAAAGCCCGCAGTTTTCTCATTCCCGTGGACCTGAACAGGTCCACCGATCGTGGTCAGTTGTTCCTCAGTGTTTCGTGTGCGTTTTGGTTTTCTTGATCGTGATCATGGCCGCCAATCATGGTGAGAACAACTGTTTACTTGTGTATTATTTGCTAAGCACGATTCCTGATCTTCCTAACGAACTAGGAACAAATTTTGTCGCAAGGAATCAACTTTTTAACTTATTATCCGTGGGCCTATCCACGGTTGCGTCATCACTAATATACCGCCAAATCAGACAATGGATGTGTTTGTTTGATGCATGACTCTACCTGCTTCTTTGTTCGGGCACTTTGTTCGTTCAAGAATACTTGTACAAAACTGCCTTTCGGTGTCTGTATATAATTGATGAGTCTACCTGATTTTTACCTGAACAATCCGGAGAAAGTCAGAACTTCTGGTCGATCTCCAACCTGAACTGCAGCCGAACGAATCTCTGTAGTCAGGAGTCTAGCCGCCATAGCATGCCAAAAACTGGAGGTTTTGGTGTCTTTGGTAGCTTTTATGTGCTATTTTCTGATTGCATATAGAAAACATAGTCGGCCTGGTTGAATTACCCCCGTTTTTTTAGAACTGGGCTGATCAGAAAACAGCCGAAGACCACCAAACCCCCAGTTCTATAAGCCTGCTACGGAGGCTAGGGAGTTTAATGGCGGCTGGGAGGCCTCTCGTAGTTCCTTGGTCGAACACGGCCTCCTCTTTTAAAGCTGTTGTGTTGCACTATTTCGTCGGGATGTTGATTCCATGCTGGATCTGTTTTTACCGCGAAAGATCTTTTTTTTCGGATTTCCAGTTTCGCTTGGGGGATTTTGTTAATCTCAAGCGGGCGGATAGCTCTTGATAGCTTCTATATCCGTCGTGTTCTTGATGTTTTTGATAATGTACGCAACGAAATCGTTCGCATCACTTTCTGATCAAGGAAGAAACGAACATGAAGTAACTTACTACGTACCAGGAACTTTCTGACACATAAATTACGCCGCAATACTAACCCCTCTAGCTCTCCCCTCCCAATAATATTTGAGCCACGCAGATCGAAAAAAATTGTACGCAGAACGGACAACCTTTCTCGGTCAAGAGAATAGATCGATATTAAAATGAAGTAACTTACGTACAAACCACCTTGTATTAAACAACGATGCTTCACTTCGTGTTGCCAAATTATGTTTCTGCTGTTGCCGACACTATTTACGATTTCGTTTTATTATTTTGCCCGCTTTAGGTCGTATCGATATAAGATCCTAACAGATTGTTGGCACCGACGGTTAAATTTGAAACGCCACACGTGTGATTTGAATTTCCCGCGCTTTGATAATCCAACATGACGCATGTAAAAAGCCTGTATCGGCATTCTATTGCATTAGTATCATTTTCCAATACTTTTCTTAGCAAGAAAACGACATATGTTAGCTCATTTTGCACGATTTACAGTATGGTTGAAACCTTTTGGAACCAACGAAATTCATACGCGTGTGGCTGTCATCCATATAAAACCAACATGGTCTAACAAGCCTTAGGCCACACCAATTTAATTTGTTGGTTCTCGGATTCGCCTTTTCATTTTTCTCTGATGTGCAAAAAAAAATTCTGGTCCTGAATCAACTCAAATATGCTCATATTTTGTTAGTTTTGTCAGTTAAGTCCTTTTCCTCCTAGTTGTTAAAGTTTTTCAAATGTAACAATGCAACTTTGTTTCATTAAAAGTTCAAAATATATTGTTTTAATTATAAACCAGCCTGATATGTTGACTTCATGGCTTATATTGTAACATTTCCGGCCTTCATGGGGTGCCTTGGCCTGTTTTTTTTTTTAATTTTGCTCTGTCGCTTCATATTTTTTCTGAAAAAATCTGAGAAACAACAAATTAAATTGGTGTGACCTTATGTAGCATCCTTGGTGAACTGCAGTTTTGGTACATGCATCTTATGTTCTGAACCATGATATAGTCACCGCTCATCATTGGCACGACAATTTGTGCATTATAAATTTAAACTAACTCATTTATTCGCTTTCTCTTAGGAGGCAACGTCCCACCATGGATTCCAGGTGTCCCACCGTGGGCCAACAACCAGTACCACCAGGCCCAGTACCAGGCTAACAATGTAAGTTTACCTTCATTTAATTTTTATTGCTTTATTTCAATATCAGCTTGCCGTACATTACAATCAGGGCTCGAAATCCCTTTTTTCTGCATTAGGCCATGTTGATTTAATTATATGGATGACATCCTCTGAGAACCCCAAAACTGATGCGCGCATGCGAATAAAAAAAAACACCCAACCCCAATCAGTCTAGAACTCACACATATACCCACACAACAAGCAATGGAAATAGAACTCATACATGTACATTGTACAGAAGTTTTCTCTTTATTTCGATACACTTTAGCCAAAAGGCTAATCTTCCAGGGTTCGTTTGAGAAAAACATGCATACAACAAATAACATAAATTATGTGATGGTAAAAACACATGCATATACTACATGTATAATTATGCAAAATAATACATTATCTAAAAACTAATCATGGAAGTCTTACTGTTTGAACATTTGGCGGATAGCTTTCTTAAAGTTAGATGTGCTGGACGTGTATTAGTGTTTAGATTTGTAGTGGTAATTTGTTCCAAAGGTAGATTGCCCTGTACTGAAAGGTTCTCTTTTTGCTTTTGGTTTTGGTAGCCTGAAACTTTGAGGAGTTGAAATTCTTGTTGAGCACTTATTAATAGATATTTTTCTGATGTTTACGGACACAGGAGCTCCTGGCGTTGAGGAGATTTGTACTGTTTATTACGCAAGTCCTCCTCCCTATGCTGGTGAGTACTTCTTCTTTTTTCAATTGAGGTCACTACCTTCAACATTATTTAATGTTCTGTCCCCCATAGTTGAAACTGCATAGCCTCTACCAGGCACCGCAGATCGCTGGAAAAATTGTAGAAACTGGCAGAAATAAAGGGATAGTATACTGGAGAAGATCCCGGGCCATAGAAGATCCAATTCGTGACCAACTTTTTAGGGGATCTTCTATGGCCAGAATCTTTTCCTACTATTTTTCCAGCAATCCATGGTGCCTGGTAGAGGCCAGAAACTACATGCTGGAAGTGAGTGTTCATGTAGTACAACGATGTATGTAGTACCACGAAAAACACCTGTGAAAACAGCGAGTGCTACCAGATGTAACGATGGACTTCAAACTTGTTCCAACACAAAAAGAAACTCACCATAAATTTTGGGCTGATCCCGTCAACCTTCATGAGATGTGTGATGCAATCGCTGATCACTTTCCGGAGATCGAAAGCGTAATGACGTCAGGAGTGCATGACATAGAAGTGGCGGGAAGATGGAATCTCCCACCATCACGGTTCAGAGAGGGTTGATGGGCCCTGATGTAAACTGCCTCCTTCACGCACCTCACAAAGTAGTCCTGCTCTGTATCTAGAATGCGCACCTTGTCCAGTGTAACAGTTACTGTATGTTCGGGGGATTCAATGTGTATTTTGTGTTGTGACACTTCAGATGTGCTTGA